CTTTGTCATGCACACACACTGCCTTGCACAGCTCTAACACAACCTAGTAGGTCTACCCACAGCCTTGGGTGGTGCCTCCTCCCTCTTAAAACCCAGCTCAAAGAATTGAACCACTCTTTTCCCTTGTGCATAGCAAGCAGAGCCCAACGTGGATGACAACCAGCAGAGAACTGTGCTAGATACTACATTGTAGTATGCACGATTCCCCCGTCCCTTGGCAAAATGGAGGCAGACCTCACGTACTACAAGTATAAACAATACAATAAGCAACACCTTAAAAAAAAAGAAAAAGAACTAAGGTCACAGTGCTTAATTCACAATGATCTGCGTTGCCACTCGTGCTGCTGCACAGATGGAGAACATTAAACAGCTTGTACGTGTGCACACAATTGCACAACATGTGGCACAGCCAGAAATGGGGTTGCATGTGGTTTTGAAGCATTAACCTTCAAATAATCACCTTCATCATGCTAAAAAGTTACGAGAAGTTAGTGGTTCTTGAGAAATGTATTGAAAGGTCCTGTACCTTCAATTGACTGCCTACAGTCTCCATTAGATTGCTACTGTATATACTACATTACATTGGTGCAGGAGAGCTAAGCAAAATGCAGCTAACCAAAAGGGATATAGAAGGAAGATGAAGTAACCATTTTTTGTCCTACATTTTGAAGAAAAGGGAAGGAAAGAAGGAAGCAACATACTTGTAACAAACCATATATGTCTATGATCTTCTCCAAAGCAAAAAGGGTGACAGAGAGGTAAAAAGTTTGCAATGAGGTTTTGTTAGTCAGAATCAGATGACAGTCTGTGATGTGATTAGAGCCACAGCAAAAATAATGGCTGGTGCTCACTAAGTTAGTTTCAATCACAGTTTAGGTGAAAGCATTTTACTTTATATTAAACCCTGGCAATACAAATGTAGCCAAGTGCTGCACATAAGCTGAGAAGCAGGTAACCAATAGCTAGAAGGGAGGTAACTTTTCCAAACACTCTGAACAGGTCTAAAGCAGCCATCTGATTATATCCTTTAACAGAAACCCAGAAAATAAGACGGACAAAACACTGAAGACTGGTAGCTGAGGAAAAGAAGAATAATTCACTTTGGGAATGTGTGAGACAACAGAGGCAAGCATAAGAAAAAGCTTTATGTAAAGAGTAGGCTTTAAAGAGGAACTGTAGAGCTGATCCAAGGGCCCTGGAAGGCAATAGAAGGTCTTCTGTTGACTTCAATGGGTTTTGGATCAGCTCTGGAAATGGAGGGGAAGGGCCTGGGGCTGGCACGGAGAGGCAGGTTGTGGGGAGGCTGGAATGCAGCTGCGAATAGACGGAGGAAGCAAAGAGGACCGTAGGGCTGGAACACAGATGCAAAAGCCACGTGGTTTTGTTTGTATGTCAAGAGAAAAATAACCTGCAGGCTGGCTTTGGTTGAAGCTTGGGGAAAAGAAAATGGAGGAAGGCAGGTTACTATTTGAGCTGAACCAACAGACCCATGGTTGGTCTGGTGGCAGCTGCATGTGAAATACCACATTCTTTCCCTGAACGTGCTCCCAGGAGGAACAGGATGTGGACACTGTGCTAAGAGGCAGAGCTCTTGAGCTGTTTGCTGAAGCTGTCCCAGGGTTAGATGGGGGGAAAGCAGAAGGGAACAAATGGAGATACATGGAAGAACAAGACTGTATCTCTCAGCTGCTTATCTCTGTAGTAGTTATATGTGTGTCCTTACTGTTGTGGCTAAACATACATTTATTGAAGTGCAGGGGAAACACATACCTATGCTGTTTATGCACTCCTGAAAAATCCTGGTAGGTGCATTAGTACCTTTGCAAACCTGGCTCAAAGTGAACTTTAGGACAAGGCAGAAGCAGAGAAGTGATTTGAACCCTGACTTTTTCCTGAGCTCAGTCTACTGCCCCAGCATACAACTCTCATTTTACTTTTAATACTCAGTTTAATCTCACACAGGATTTGTGCAGACCCTCAGCGTAGGGGTGAATTTTACCCTTTTCTGTTTCCTTCTTTTAATTAAGCAGATAGCACTCCAGTTAAAAATACCAATACTCTAGTTACTAAATGACAAGAAAAACTTGCCATCCAGTTTTACCCCCCCACTAATATGAAAACTGCTTACTTAAACATTGCACAATTATTAAGGGGTTTCAAAAAGTCAGAAGCAGCTTTCCTGTCAGCTGAGACCTCGCAGATACCTCTCTGACCACCTCCGGGGGAAGAAGCTACAATATGACTATTACAGAATCGCTGAAGCAAGGGCAGAAACATCAAATGCTTCTCAACTCACAAAAGGAAATTACATACAATTCCCTTTCAAGTCTACCCAAGACCTTCACCACATCACATTCCTTTCTTAATACCAGCTCTTTGTTGGGATGTTGTGTCTACTCATAAAGTAACTCTCCTTCATATACTGTTCGAAAGCACAGCTTATTAAGAACATTAGCTTAGGAGATTGGTGGGGTCAGTACATGGTTTTCAAGTGCGTCACACAGAGAGAATGAGCTGAGATAAATGCTTGGATAGCAGCCACTCATTTTTAAAACCAGTTGTTCACAGTTATTTTTCTTAATTATTTTTGTAAGGCAAAGATGTAGTCCAAGAATGCACTGCTTATTTCCATTCATATAATATTTAAAATACTAAATTGTCTGCTTTTTAGACTAGGCTTTATCTTGACAGAACTAAAAAGACACTGACATAAATTAAATTACACAGCTCCTCTCTGATGCTCACTGCAACTGAAATGAACACCTCGGCAGGGGGATGTCCAAACCCTTCAGAATGACGCTTCATGAATTCTTTGCCTGAAGTGCTCTTTCATAACCTGGGATGGCGACACAGTTTGGTGTGGTATGTGACTTTTCTTACAGTAAGTAAGCTCACTCTGTCTCCAAGCTATAGTGGCCTGAAGAAGTTGGTACCGAAAAGCATTCCTGTCCCAGAAGTGTCAGGTTGCAGCTCTGTCCTGGGAAGGCTCAGCTCCCAAGGCACTCGGAGATAGAAGGTCCATCTAGAAAGGTGTCCTTTGTCAGAGCACAGTGCTAGCTAAAATTAGTGTTTTTATAACAGCAGGTGGGAGATTAATATTGATCCAAGTTATGATAATGCTGCTGCAGCTCACCAGAACTCCTGGGTTTCAGTTCTACAGCGGAGAAGAGGTTTGAAGGTAGTTACCATGTCTCTGGCAGACAGACGCCCTTTTCCTCTCTCAGGCCCTCTTCCTGCCACTAAATCCTGCTCCAGGGGCTCTCAACCACTTGCAGAGACCGTTCAAACTCAACGTTACTCGTGAAGAACACAGTGTTTGCACCAGCATGTCTCGGACCAGGGTTGGAGGCCAGACAGTGTGTCTGGTCTACACTTAGTCCTGTGAAGGAGTGTTTTACACTTCCCCTGTAAAAGTGTCATGCTACTGCCAAAGCAGAGCATACCCTTCAACAGACCAGAAAAAATGACCAGTAAAATGCAAATGCTGAAGGAAGACCCAAGAGTTGAATAGCAAGAAAAGCTCCACAAAGGGTTTGTATGTGCACCCAGCCCAGCATCCCTCAGAGCACCTGAAGCCAAAGCAATGCCTGGGGTGCAATACTTGCACAGGGAATGATAGGAGTTATTCTGCACTCAGCCTCCATCACCTACACCACTGCAAAGCAATGCAAAGCGATCTGAAGCTCTCCTGCTGCTGTTCAGCAGCATTTTATGTCCATTTTAAAATCACTTTGCCTCACTATGAATGGCTAAACAAAAGACAGACATACGGGTAATCAGGCTCTTGTCTTAGAATCAAGTTTTACTATTAAATTGCCATTCTACACTTAAGTTGATTATTGCAATCAGCATTGCACATAAATTGCTATTAATTAGTGCCACTCTAACCTTAAGGAAAGCTCAGAGCCCATTTGTTGGTAGCTTCCAATCTGACCCAGAATGTCCGATGATTTAGTAAAATCTTAGGGGCAAGTTTGAATTTACAATTTCAGATTTCAATGCTCAAAAAATCAGAACTTTTCAACACATACCAGAGACAGAAATAGTTATCCAATAACACTTACATTAGAAGTGTGAACTTCTGTTAGTTATGGCAGTAAAAATTCTCCTGTAGATTTATATAGATATACTTATTTATAAATGAATGTAACAATATATTAATTACTGTGTAATGTGTATACCAATATAAATTTATATTCATATACTGCAGTATACAGCACGATCCATTCTAGGTCTATGTACTCTGTAATACCTATTCTAACATAGGAAAAGTTAAACTTCTACAAAGCAGCTCTGTATTGATAGCTGTAGCCCTAAGAAGCACATGGTACTATTTTATTACAACTAAGTCAATGTGATAAATATCTAGCATAGATTTTTAGAATATTATTTGACAGATATCACCTTGATTACTCACTTGTCTGCATCCCCTTTTGTTTAGACATTCTCATGTGAACCTCAAACAAACATTACTAATATAGATGGAAGGGGCAGGAAAGGAACTACTCAGTGTTTATACTGTAGATACGATTCACCGATACAGAATTAGATTTACCTTTACTGGTGCTCTAAGCCCTTCCCTTCCGTACAGATTAAATGGTAATCAGCAAGAACTGAAACACATCTTTAACATCAGCCCTGCGTACCTGTTTTACCCTACACCTCTTGAAAACTTTCCCATTCCTTGAGCCACCCGTGGTATCCACTGTTTCTATTGTAGCTTTTTACCAGCCAGACTATAAAAGACAATGTAAGGACCACTCCAATCTCCCTCTTTATTTATTGTTACTTTTTCTGACAAACAGTTTTAGGGAACTTATTTCAAAGAAGAAATTAATCTATCACAATTCATGTGGCATTAACTAACCAGCAGGAACTTCCGCCTGCTGTAACACTATGACTTGAAAATTGCGCAACACCTTTAGTAAACACTTCCTCATATAGGAACAAGGATAAAGCTGAGCAACTCACTCCCTCTCATTCACTGCCCAAGAGAGGACTGCTCAAAGCAGACAGCCTGGGAACCCAACTTTCCCAGACCACGGAGACCACTGCTAGACAAGCAACTGAGATGACTAACATACTTCTTGTATCTGTTGTTTTGCTACATTTTCTCCAAGGTATGACTTTTTTTTTTTTTTTTTAAATCCTTTATCAGTGGTTGCTGAACTTTGTCCAGCAATTTTATGAATTGTAGATATACTGAACTGTAGATAATACTGAAGAACAGTGAATTAAAGCCATTGAAAAAAAATGGTACTGCTGAAGTTAGGGATGTTTTCTTTTTTCTCTTTCTGTTCAAAGTGATTATCTAAAATTCTCTAGTTAGAGAATTATTTACTTGTGTGAAAACTGGCCATAGATTGCCTAAGGACGCAGAACTGGTTAGTTTTGTGAGCCAATTAAGAAAGTAGTTCCCCTGCAAATAGGCAGACAATTTATCCAATTGGGACAACTTATTAAACTGACAGCATTTTAGCTATAAAAGACAAGACTTTTATTTGAATTCAGTTAATGACATCACCTGAATTAAAATAGTTAGCACCCTTATTATCTGTGTGATGCTTTGGGTTACGAGTATTCATATGACTTAACCTTAACAGACCACGGTTTTTTCCCATGTGCACTGTTTCTTTCAGTTCCTGTCAACAGGGAAGAGATTTTTTCAGAGCTTGTCATGCACAAGCATGCACAGGTTTTATATACATAATTAGACATGTAATTTGTATTCAGACAGGTATCTTTATGATTTCATTAGTAGCACAGAATATCTGAAATGTGTACAGTACTAATGCTTAAGGTGTTACAGATTTTGTTTCTTGACAAAACCAAACCTTCACTGTCAATGAAATTCTCACTATAGCTTTTTCTTCCTGGTTTGGGCTCTTGGAAAAGTACATAATTATTTGTTCCTTATTAGCACTTTTTCTAGCTATTGTACGAGGCCAAAGGAACTTTTCTTCCTTAAAGCTACTGACTCAAGACAATGCCTGAGGCAAAACAAAGACAATATAGTGAGTTGATTAAAAAACTACCTCTAAGAAACCATCTTTTCCAGAACAAAACTAACCTGTTTTTCCTCGAAACATCTGTATCACACTGCAGGAAAAGGACAAGTTTAGTTCTGAGTCTCCATTCAAATCTTGCCTAAACTTGAATCATCTGGGCTACAGTTAGCCTTGTAAAAAAAGTCTGCAACAGGGAGTGGATAGATAAAATTGGAGCACAGAACTCTGTTCCGAGAGGCCTAAAATATTACTGTGATTATTACGTAAGAACGAATTTAAGCTCATGGAAAGACTATGTTTGCAAGGCAAAAAGACTTTTTAAATGTAAACATTAGTTGCTTAAAATAAAACATCATTGTAAATTACAGCAACAAACTTGCACTTGGTATTTGCTAACAGCATGGGCATGGATAGTTACTGTGTCCTGCGTAAAGACCCAGCTGATGTAAGGTAACTTCTTAGGACCTACTACCATTATACTATCACACCTTTCTCTACAGCACTCAGCTCTGTCAAGATACAACCAAGTTTATTCTGCAATTATTTTTGGAAAGGGTTTAATCAAATAAACCAGTTATGAAGAATTAATCTGTATATTTTATGGGAACAATTTGCATGAGGATGTGCTCTGTTGTTCCAGATACAGAAAATTACAGTAATTGAATGCCCCACTCCTGTAAAAATCTGGCCTTGAGGCAGACAATTAAAATGGGAGTTGCACTCTCCCTTTGTTTTTTGGTTGTTTTTTTTTTTTTTTCAAATACAGGCTCTTGTGCTTAGCGCTGAGCCCTCAAGAATTTGCCCATTCAGGTGAAATGACCTTTTGCAGGAGATTAAAGAGCTCAGGAGGCATATAAAACCCGCTGTTGCCTTGTTGGAAACTAACACATCCCTTGTACGACCCTGCCTTCTCAAATGCTGTACACCAGCTGCTATTATTAACTTCAAATGATGCAACGTGTGTTGACCACCATGACCCTGCAAGTCATGCCACAAATTAACTTTTGTCAAGATTCACTCAGGCTCAGAAGCAGAAAACAAAAAGAAAAGCTTTTCATCATCACTGTTTTTCCTCAACAAGTTCTTTATAGCCATTGCAGACACACAACCCACCTTACGATTAAGACCAGTAAAAAGGGTTATGTGAGTTAAGGAATCATCAGGATTTCTTACCGCCTTCAAGATTTTCCTACTTTACCGCTTATCTCCTATTATTTTACCTAGCCTTGTTCCAATGCCTTCTCCAGTCCTTTTGCTGTCACATGTAACCACCCTCAATCTGACTCAATAGGTAAGAGTGTGTCTATTAAAGAACCGTCACAAATATTTACATGAAAAGACCAGCTGAAAAGCTTTCTAAATGAGAAATCTAGGCTTGGTCCAGACTTGTGGTGAACTGTATGAGTTTACTTGCTTACCTAGAGGCAGTCTTAACTTGTATGTTATCATGTGATAAGGTTTGGAGATCACTAATTTCACAGAACCGTGTAACTTATTTCATGTCATCTGCAAAACGTGAAGGCAAAGGTTGCACCTTGCATAGCTCGTCTAGCATGTTGGTACTCAAAACTGCTGATTGGTGCTGGGGAAGAAATCTAAAGCGAATTGCATAAAATATTCTGACACCTGGAAATAGCCAGGTATGTTAACTCATCTGAAATCCAGACTGTAACAAACCTCATGTTAGATCACATAATGAGGGTGACCGCTTAGCAGACCAGATGAGCTCATGTCAGAGCCAGTGCAGAGAACACAGGAGAAATGAGCGGTGCAACAGATGAATCACTATACAGCCCAAAAGAATCAGTCTTGACAGACACGGAATACGGTGTTTAGCAAGTTAATACTGTGTTTTCATAAACATACGTCTGTTTCTCCCTAGGGAGCACAAGCAAGAAATTACCTGGAGTTGAGCAATATGAAATAGTTTATCCACGGAAATTGCACACAGTCCATAAAAGAGATACAGAAAGAAATAAAGAGGTATTAGAAGAGATAACTTTTTTTTTTTTTGGCTGGGATATGCGGAAGGTTTTCTGCAGTCAGAGTAGCCTTGGTTTTCAAGGGTAAGAGAATGTGGAGCCAGATACTTGATCTTGCAAAATGACATGAAAGAAAACCTGGAAGAGTGACCCCATGTCCAGTAAAGATGGGCTGTGAGGTGTGCTCAGTATGCTGTGAAGTACCTGCATGCCATCGGTGGGTCTTCTGTACTTGTATCTCTGCAAAGCCGTAGGTTTTGATACTACTCAGATTTTGAATAACCTATGGACATTTTAATTTGAAGTAAATTAAATCAAATGCTTAAAACTAAACACGTTCTTACATACTGCAAGAGAGTTATGAAAATGTTTGAATTTAAGCATTTGCTTGAGCTCCTTCCTGAATATCCAGGTATGTGTTTATGATTGTAGAAATACATTTGCAAAGTTAAATTTGTTCCTCTAATTAAAAATATGAAACAGAGTGACCTCTTGCTTATTCTATAATTGCCAGAATACTTATTTCTGGTGGGAGGAGGAGGAAAAGAATGCAGCTGGCAACTCAGAAACAGGCAGCTCATAGTGAGGCCAGGAATTGTAACAGTCCATATTCTAACACTTAAATCTGTTTACAGACAAAATATGATGACACAGTGGAGTATGGATTCAAAGCCAATGGAGAGGAAGTCATACTGCACCTACAAAAAAACAAGTAGGTTCAGTTCAATTTTACCTTGAGCATTATTCCTCACTATAAATGGCTCTGTAGAGCATTCAGGATATTAAGAAACAGGATTTAGGTTCTTGTAAGACAGAGGTATTTTGGTAAATACAACCTTTCAGCTCCAATGAGAGAAGAGGGGAGAGAAAGCATCATGTCACTGTTTTGGTAATGTGAAATAACTATGCAGACATATGACTGCTAACTCTGTTCTCCCTTTTATTTCCTAAATGGCTAAATACACTGAATGTTTAATGTTTTCATATTATTTCACAAGTTTTCTGTGTCCATGGATAGTCTCTGTGTTGTATTTATTTACTCCACGCTGGTAGAAACTACAGAGAAGAACAAGAGAAATATCCATGAAATGGGGCAGTGTTGGCTCTGTATGCTTTTTAAAAAATGGAAAATATTAGTAAGAAATGCAATAATCCTTAATAATTCAGCTTCCAGCACTCCCTACCTTAACACTACTGCTGTTGGACTTTGAGCGGTCTAATATACACTGGCATTGACAAAATGCTTTATGGAAATTGAAAGCAAGGAGAGGCCGCCTCCTTGGCTGAAGAGATTAACAGCATTTAAACAGGACATGCAGAGGGTACAGAGAAGCAGTGGGCTTTGTTACAGAACGAAGCATACAAAGAAAAGTCCAGAACTGTACAGAGCAACACAAAACAAAGCACAGTCGTGATTTTCTGCTTGCTGGCTCCACCATAATATTTAACAAGGGATCAAACAAGTCTGCTTTAATAGGTACTTTTCAAATGGCTGTGTAAATACAATAGTACTATAATCAGTTCATGTTAAATAGACTCTAATTAACTGTTTGCCCCTGTTTTAATCTAATCTAAATATTTGGAAGGAGGGGAAGGGAAATGATATTGTACTAAATCCCACTCTTTAAAAAGAAATGGGATTGTGGCAGTTTGAGGTAGTTGCCCAAACAGAAGTGAGTGTAGACTTGCTTTGCTGCTAGTTTTAGTAAGACTACAGCCCTGGCTTAAAGTTAAGCACCTTCTTAGTGCTCTGCTGCAGAGGAGCCTGAGTGCACAGAGCCTTGCAGGATCTGGCCTTCCACAGCAAATCACAAATGTGTATGCTAACAAGAAACCCAAAGACACCTTTCCCAGTGGTGGCAGAAATACAGTAATATATTCCATAGTCACGATGTTCTCCTTTGAAGGTTCAGGAATGTGTATGTGTACAAAAGTAGCATTCCATTTAGACAGAAAAGAAAAATCAAGTTCAGGTAGAATGATTACAAAGATGAGAACTTGCGCTAGCAAAGTTATAAAAATGCTGTGAGCAAAAAAATCGGAAAAAGATATGTTAGTGTGATCTCCATACAGAATCTCTGAGTGTGTGTACATGTACACATACATGTATGCACTGGCACATGTGGAACAGATGAGACAGCTTTTCCACTGACCTAGATCTTTGCTATTTATAATCAGTGGGGGTGAACTGGGAAGAGAACAGAACAGCACCATTTCACATGCACCGTGGAGTGGTAGAAATGTCTACACAAATTGGGAGGCCAAAAAAGGATCAATACCACATATGTAATTATACATTTACTTTCAGATCTACTAGGAGATCAGTTTATACCAATGAAATAAGTAGACTTTAATTGCTTTCTTATTTTAGAAACGTTCCTTTGTTTGAGTAAGGATTACGAACAGGCAGAACGCCCCACCCAGCAGCTTTGCTTCCCTAGTTTTTCAATACTAATAATAACCTGAGTAATCATTTGAATTCCTTACATACTTTGTGTGTTATGTAATTGCCTCATTTCTAGACAGCTACAATTTATTTTGAATAATAATTGCACTTGACTCTTTGCAGGCATCTATTAGCTAGAGACTATACTGAAACAGTTTATTCTGATGACGGTCGACAAATAACAACAAGTCCTCAGATCAAGGTAATAAAAATAGGTTTCCTTCCCTCACTCATACTTGCAGTCTTGAGGAGGTCTGTATGAGATTCATGGGTCCATGAAACAATAGCACATATCAGACAGAAAGAAAAGCTTTTAAATCAAGGTTCTGAGCACTGTTAGGATGCCTCTGAAGGGACAGGGAAGATGTGACTCCTGACTTTGGCAGAGCTACACTGATTTACACTTTTTGAGAATGAGACACACAGTTTGTCTCTCAAAAAGACAACCACTTTTTACCTTAGTGACTAACGAACACATTTTCTCAGACAAATTTCTCTTTTGTCAGGAAAGGGAGCGGAGCCAGGGCCATTCCACTGCTTTCTACCTTCTGATTTTGCCCTCCTGACTTTGCTCATTCTGCACAACTCCATGACTTGTTTTTACACCCTAATCTCAGTGAGATCACAGAATCTGATAAAGACACATTTCCTCACTGGCTCACGTTACCACCCACGCTCACAGCAAATGCACTGCAGGTTACCCCAGGTGGCTTCTCTGAGCCATGACGAATCAGTTATTCAGATCCAGACACAGAGGAAGTCACTGTAGAAGTTAGTTTTTAATTAACTTTGCACTCACGGGTCTTATCTTCAACAAAGCTCTCACTTGAAGCTTTTTGTCCAACGCCATGCTATGTGTTTTAACACATGTAATTTGGAAAACAAAGCCTAATATTTCTTGTCATGGAGCGATCAGCAGGAACAGGAGGATCTTGAGTGAAATAAATGTGCATAAAGAATTCTGGGTTGGTTTTTTTGTGGAAAATGATGCCATTTCTGATTGCTCCAATTACTTTTAGTCCCTGAATGGATCCTGTGAAAAGCAAATAGCACCTATACCTGGTCAAAGACAATCTCAAACAGGCCTACCTGTGCAGCTTGCTGAATAAGAAATTCCTACGTTGTAGATACTTTATTATGATCGAGATCATTGTTGTTCTTCTTGTATCCTCAAGAGATGGAGAGTAATTCTCCACTTCTTTCTCTAGTAATTTTCACTTTGCTGATGTCTTTTTCACTGTAAGAAAGTTGGCACATTGTGATGGAAGGAAGACAAATAAATGGTAAAGTGAAACGAAACATCTATGAGAAAACAAAAGGCACAACGCATGCAGGTTTGAATACTGTGTTATAGGTCCCTCTTAAGAAATCTATTAAGGAAAATGCTATGGGTAAAATTTTTCACAATACCTCTGTGACTTTGAAGTCTCTTTGAAGACAGAAGTGTTCATTAGACCTTAGATCCTTAAGTCAACTAAGACATGAAAATTTCTCCCCTCATCGTATGTTTTAATACAATACATGCATTTTAATCTCATTGGAGTTAATGCATTTAATTGTTGGGTTAATATTAAAGGGTGTTTCCTTGAAATTTGGCCACAATAAAATCATTTGGTATGGACCCTAATTCAGCAGAGCACATCAGTATATGCTTAATTTTGAGCAGTGAGCATGCATATTCTTGTTTGCATGTACTGTTGTGTATTGACCAGAGCCCACCATGATTGGATTTGTCACAATCTGGGTCACTCTGTCTTGAAGGTTAACAGTAATGGTACTGTAGCAAACATGGAAATGGTCACCAGCTTCTTCCATTTTAAGAATCTCCTCTAACAGGAGATTTCCTCAGACAGTGCAGTTTATTGTAGCTTGTAGCTGGTCTAGTTTGTCTTCTGAAATCGCTGGATCTAGGCCAATTCAGTGCAGTCAATGAGACATGGCCCAATTTGACAATGTATTCTTTCTTTCCAAACAGGATCACTGTTATTATGAAGGTTACATTCAGAATGATGTTCATTCCATAGCAAGCATCAGTGCTTGCAAAGGTCTAAGGTAAGACGGAGGTTTCATTCCTAAAGTGTACCAATGGCAGAATACGCATACTCTATGAGGATAAATTTTCCAATATAAAAAGAACCAGGATGTAATTAAGTGGTGTTATCTTTTATTCACGCTTACAGGGAAACCAGTTTACCAAACAAAAAAAAAAAAAAAAGGAAAAGAAGGAGAAAAAAGTTACCTTTCTACATCAGTTTCAGTGTTTATAAATTAGAAGCTAAAGAAACATCTATATCAATACATTTATATGACTAATTCCATATTAGATCTGGTCATAAATCATAGCATTTGGTGGTGCTTACAGCAAACAGTTAAGGCTGATGCTTCTAAGATGTAGGAAGCTCCACTGACACTTCAAGAGAAGGCTACATTATTTTCAGTGCTACAGCAGTTACAGGGTCAGGAAGTTCAAGCTGTTGTATGAAAAGCTCAGTTAAAAGAATCTGCTGATTTGTAATCACTGAAGACACAGTGGTATAACATAAAAAGGTAGGAGGATGACTTGAGTCTGAGAAGCTGCAGCAGAACATTTTCTTAATGGTTAGTGGAGTTTGGCCAAAACTCAGACTTTCTTTGTGAACACTTCTTGCATATCCTGTCAAGTTTACATGTTAACACAGAACACTTATTTTGACATTTGCTGCTCAAAGTCATTCAAAACTCTTAATTCCTTCCAATATTTCTGATTTTCATCTCAATTCAAGATGAAAACATATCTTTGAATTCCCCACTGAACTGAAATTCACTTTTCAATCACCTCTGCTAGCACAAAATCCCCAAATTTAAATCTAATTAATTCCTAAACCAGTTTCTTTTTGACTGACAGAGACTCAGAGACTTTACTGACTAGTCAAATCTTCCAAGTGACTCAGCAGCTTTGATTTCTGCTGTTAAATTGTTGTACACTCTGCCTGCATGCTGCTAAACTCTTCCATTGCATCAGTGTGTGCAATGGTCTGTACGTTTAGGCTAAATGCTCTTAGAGATAATGGTGCTATCTTGACTCAGTCCTGCGGATTCAAAAGATCACAGTCTAACTAATTTTCTTAGTGGCTATTTTGAGACCCATGGCCAGAAGTACCTCATTGAACCCTTGGGAACTTCAGACAGAGATGAACATGCGGTCTATAAGTACGAGAAACTCGAACAAAAGTCCATAAAAACGTGTGGTCTAATCAATAACACCTGGGAAGCAGATTCAAATGACCCCATCAATGACACCTTCAAATCCAGCAATAATCCAGAAGTAAGTACGTAGTTAAGCAACAGTCCAGTAAGTACATGTCAGAAAAGAAATTGCAGCCATAGGAGAACTCTGTGAGTAGCACAACTCCCACTCTGGCTGGTGGCACCTCCAGAAAAGAAGCAATTGCAAACAGTGAAGAATAATAATCAGGTCTTAAAGATCCAGTGCGGAATCTCACAGATCTGAGATTTCAGAGTCACCACCTGAGTTAAGTCATCCTGCATGTACTAATAGGTGCCCATGTGCATCTTTAAACATCTAAATACTTCTTAATATCTAGCCTACCTTTCATCATTTTAAAACAAGGCAGTCCCCATTCTAAATGACTTGGGTAAAGAAATACCCTCATAACTAATACATGGGTTTGAAATTGCAAATGTTGAAACTGAAACAGGCCTTACAAGTCATTTAAATGTATCTTTTCTTTAGATGGAAGCATATCTGAAAGCAAAAAAGTATCTGGAACTTTACATAGTTGCAGATAATACTTTGGTGAGTATTGAAACGATTTTTTTTCTCATTTGACCAGCTAGAGATAAGCTTTCCGAAGCAGGTACTACTCATGTCCCTGGGCTCCTACTACAATTACAGTGCTATACTATGTTTTACCACTGACTTTGGCTAGGAATAGGATCTCCTAATGTCAACTGATTTTGAAAATCCCACCTGGAGATGAGAAGAACTCAGAAAACACCATACAGTGCCTGTCCTCTTCTGCACCATACACATAGATATATATTTTGAAAGGGCTTGATCCTTAAACACATTGCCTGATAAAACAGTACATCAAAAAGATAATAATATGTAGACCAGGCATGGTGTGGTTTGCAATGCAATCTTCTGTGGGATATGTTCTGATAAATCACTATTTTCCTCTCCTTTCCTAACATACTGTATTTACTTTTTTAGTATAAGAAGTATGAGGAAGATGTTCAAACTGTAAGACAAAGGATATTTGGAATAGTCAATTACATCAACACGGTAAGAGCAAATACAGCAAAGTGAAATTGAAATAGAAGTGATTTCTAATTTTTTTCTTTTGCAAACATCATGAATTTTCATTATTACATGTAGAAAAGAATGAAAACTGAACTTCATTGTAATTTATGAAACAAATTTAACACATCTGTCCATATTATCCTGTTCTTTGCCTTCAGATATGAGATTTCTAGAAAGGAAGACCTATACTGTATTGTCTTAACACTTGTTAAAGTGAATGATTGAAATCCTTTGAAAAGAATGAACTGATTCTCAATTCTTCATTTCTTTTGCAAGTCAAATTTCTTCAAAAATACTGCTGGAATTTTCAAGTATTTTAAAGCCATTTTTATAGTTGGTTTAAATGTGGGGGGGAAAATAAGATTTCATGTTTTGTTTCTTGGTTTTTTGTTGCAACTTCAAAGTGCAGAAAAGCTTAAATCAGGTCTGGAGTGGACTATGTTGCAAGTGACAGAAGTGAACCAATTACCAGGACAAGTGTTTGTTTCAGAAGTCTTCATAACATGCTACATTTTTACAGCAAGGCTGTTTCTCTGCTGCAGGTTTATAAGGCCATAAATACCTACGTGGCTTTAATTGGCCTAGAAATCTGGACACATGGTGATAAATGCCTCGTGAGTCGTGTTGCAGGATCCACTCTGGACAGTTTCTCAAAGTGGCGTCTATCAGATTTATTAAAGAGGAAAAGAAATGACAATGCTCAGCTAATCACGTGTGTATTATTCTGTTTCCTATTTGCATTTCCAAATAGGTTCAAGGAATTTGTTCTTTTAAAATTGGTCACCAACCAGTCAGAGACGCTGTCTATACTGAACTGGATTTCATGCTTTCCAGTACAAGGTTGTACTAATTCCAGGACAAAAATGCGGGCTCTCTTTTCTTGCTTTTATTTTCTTCATGGAATACAATTCCCTGCTAGGACACAATATCTAATCTGTTTATCTGAACCCCTGCAAAAACAGGCAACGTAAACTTCCACTACATCTCAGTCTCTCCTTTTTCCTGCTCTGGTCCCAGAACAGTTGAGTGTCCTGAAGACTGCAGCATAGTCTAACAACCTAAGGAGACATGACATGAAGTTTAACAGCTGGGAAATGCACGTTGCCAAACTAAACCACCACTCGCTTTGCTATTCTGGCTCATGTTCAATGGCCCTGATTCATCCAAGCACTTTGCTACATTTAGAGCACTTCATCAAGCTCTTTACACTCATACAGATGCTTTAAGTCTGATGAACTGCAATGTAATTTAAGTAAAAATTTAAAATGAAAAGTGTATTCAATTGTTTTCTGATATGCCGTGATCTTAACCATGTCCTCAAATATTGTATTAAATCAGGGATGCAAACGAGAGCTGGAAATGAGTATATGCTTAAAGCCTTCAGCCTGGTTAAGAAAGCAGACACCTTCAGATCTGCTTCCTGGTCACATCACTGCATTTCACTCTGCCCTTCTTCCTTACAGAGGCTATGACTTTGAGGGGACAACGATTGGATTAGCCTTTCTGAAATCCATATGCAGTGATATATATTCTGCAGGTATTATTCAGGTCTGATTTATTTTTATTTTATTTGTTAAAGGTTTATCTATGTTTTTTACCGAACCAGCAAAGAACGTTTATGAAAATTATTGGGTGTGCAACATTTTCAGTTCTCTGTCTGATTCATATCATTATTTTATTAGACTGTAGAAATTCACAGTCAGAGATTTTATTTTAAATGAAGTGCAGAGGGTAAAGACAGCACACACAAAGCATGGCATCTGCCGTTACCTAAATGCCAACATCAAACTCAGACACCTGTATTTGGAGTACCAGGCTCCAATAGAGTCAGAGGAGAGAAATAAGTGATTTTGTGCCTCTACCTTAAGGTTCCCTGTTTTGAACAGGGAATTGGTTCTGACTGTCTTAATGCATATCATCAGTTTAGCCACTTAATTACAGCTGCCTAAACTACTGTACTTAAACTTCAGCCTAAACAGGAACATAGATCCAAAACTTTACCAACAACACCGGGAACTCAACTGCTGCACCCAGCTTCAGAGGCCGGGCTTGCTGCTAAGAGGAATAACCCACATGAAATTCCAGCTTTACCAAACCATAAGGAAATCCTAGGATGATCTTAAAACCAGAATGCTTTTCAAGGTGCAGTGATGCATTTTGTAGCAGCATGATTTGCAGTGCCATGCTGGAAGAGTATGACCACTATGCTGCCTCGTGCTTTATGCATTTCCACTACCACCTGATGTTTATACATCTGGATTTCACTCAAAAGACCAGGACTTTTCCTTTCCTCGCTCCCACCAAGCAGCATGAAACACCAAGCTAAGAGCAAACATGGAGCACAGCATCTGCCTTTCCTTTCTGTGCATGCACAACACTGTCCACAATAGTTACCTTGGTGTAATGAGTAATAATTACATTGCACCCACGTAATTACCCTAAGCACAGAGACAGCTATCCAGAGAAAGGATTAAGAGTTTCAGATGTTCAGTTCCCCTTAACATTCAGTTGTTACTTCGCAGCCTAACTTCCTCATGTTTATTTAAAAACTAATTATACCAATTTATTCGTGTTTGTTAGTGGTATCATCTCATTGCTATTATAATATAATCCAGCATAAACTGTGGAATAGATGCATGCATGGATTGAACAACATATCAATCCTTATGTAGCAGTGAGGATAATTTCACTTGAAGAAAAGTTGTCCTATTTCTTAGCCACATGGCTTCTCTGATGTTCCTACTTGTTCTAAAATACTCACAGATATAACAGCCTGTTCTTATCTCTACAGGATCACAACAGAAATGAAATTGCAGTTGCAGCTACCATGGCACATGAGATGGGACACAACCTTGGCATGAGTCATGACACCAAAGCCTGCACATGTAATGATCAAGTTTGTATCATGACAGATACTGTCAGGTAGGAGTTTGGATAAAAAGGCAAGGGCATTAATGCATGGGGCAATTAAGGATGGGCTTTGGATAAGCTGCCAGTTTCCAAAATGCAGTAGTAAATTTTTTTTTTTTTCTCTGAGATTATTCCATTCAAATTATACAAAAAGAAGGGAAAAATGAAGAAATTCCAGGCCCTTGTAAAATATTCCCAGATGGATAACCTCTCCCCCGAAAAACCAACCAACCAACCAAAAACCTTAGTCACTTTTGGCTAACATCAGCTTTGCATGTATGGTGGAAGCCTTCACATTAAACCATAAATAACTTCTTCCTTACAATGACAACAGCATAAAACTGCTATGGTATCTCAGATGACAGAGCTTCCCCAAGATTTACCTAAAATATATTTTTGTTCTCTACCTTGGAGATGTCTCCTGTGAAAACCACGTAGAGTGCTTGCACCTTTAATAAGTACCTATTAGATAGGAATGTAGTTCAGTTTTCACTCTAGTTCAACACCCTGAGCCTCTGCTGGAAGGCCCAGTGGAAAACTCCTAATGCCTGAAGCATCCAGGCACAAACTGTATAGACCAGGCTTAAATCTTTGGGATGCAGGATTTATTACGTGCAATTTTTACATTTAGTACATTAACTACTTCTGATCTGTTTGTTTCCACTTTTTTTTTTTTCTGCTATAAGTAGGAGATAGCCATTGTATTTATTAATATATGTATTTGGTAAAATGGTTGCACCCAATAATTTGGGGGATGGTCACTTGTTTAATTTCTCTTGTAAAGGATATTGCTTCTCCTTGCCTACAGTAACCCTAACGCAAATCCTCCTGCTTTCTCAATATAGCTCTATCATCCCCAAGAAATTCAGCTCTTGCAGCCTCCAAAGTTTTGAGAAATACATGTTGAATGACATGCCAAAATGCTTAACTAACATCCCAGATATAAGCAGCATCATAGCACCTCCATCCTGTGGAAATGGCTTTCTGGAAAGAGGAGAGGAATGCGACTGTGGTACTCCTGAGGTATATGCATAACCGGGAATAAAATAATACTTGGAAGAGGCAATGAGTTTTATTCAGGCTGTACAGTAGCTGGTTTCTGTTAGTTTCTGAGGTAGCCAGTTCAAAGCTAGCTGAAATATTTCTCAGTAGAAACTGTGGTCATCAAATGGCTGATCTGCAGTGCAGGCACTTCTGTAAAGTGCATGCTAAATGGTGGAAAACACAACTGCATACTTTGTCATGCGGTATTGACAGAGGAACTGAGAATGAAGAAAAGCCATACATACAAAACTGTCTCAGCAGAAATAAGCAAGTTCCCTGCACAACTTCTATTAGCATTTTCATAATCAAACACACTTTGTATTCTTTATGTGCTCACTCACAATGGCTGGCATGGCTTCTAGTGAAAATGGTTTTCAGAAAAGCACAGTGCAGGTCCAAGATATCCTTCCCTCCCTTGATACCCAAGTACAGGATGGTTTTTTGAGAATGCAGTACAGAGGGGACCAAACCCTGAAGCAGTGTAGCAGAGCTCTGTTTGCTGATTCTGTCACAGGAGTGCACAAATCACTGCTGCAACCCCAAGACGTGCAAACTGACAGAAGGCTCCACGTGTGCACATGGAGAGTGTTGTGAAAACTGCCAGGTAAGACTCCTTTTAATCTCTAGCTTCTCATATTTTCCAGGGTATATTTTTTTTCCCTGTGAGAAAGCAGTAATACACCTTTCAAAAGAACCAATCCTCTTTACCTGTAATTAATGACATAGCACTGTAATGACAAGCACACTTTGTCCATCCCAAACTACACCACAATTATCAACTAAGTCTTTCAAAGTCCTGGAGCATTTTACCACCCATTTTCTCCTGGAAAGAACAGCTGAAGCACAACCAGGCAAAAATCTTACCAAGTGACAAAACCAACTTTAAATTAGATACGTATCTTGCTCCTCATGCAACTTGTACAGTGAGGATGAGATTTGTCTCCCCTAATTTTAGCCCTCTAGTTCAGTGTGGTTTTTAAATGGCATGGAGGAGCACTGTGTTAAATGTGGCATTGCTTTTCCCCCACTTCAGTATAAAAAACCAGGTGCTATCTGCCGAGCAGTTAAGCATGACTGTGACCTGGCTGAGATGTGCACCGGCTTTTCTGCAAATTGCCCAGAGGATCGATTCCGTGTGAACGGATACCCCTGCAACTATGGTGAAGGCTATTGCTACATGGGAAACTGTCCCACCCGAGAAAACCAGTGCAAAGCTGCTTTTGGACCACGTGAGTACAAGCTGGCATTGAAAAAATAAGGTTGCCTAGGTCAAAGGAGAGAGAGAGGTAGGCTTTGTCTGCTAGCAAATCATCAAAGATGTTTTGTAAATCAGGAACAGAATATCTACATAAATGAGTATAATCAGATTATAATCATGTGACCTGAAGCTCAGAGCATATAATGCAATGTATTTCTAGAGAAATGGGAAGTGGTAAGCATATTCCTCTTTTGCACAATGCTTTGAAGGTAAATTTGGAGGGGAGCTGGGTGAGTATTCTTTGCTTGATAGGAAGAGGAAATGTCTGTATTTCAAGATCATGTCCAAATTTAGCATGCCCTTATGTTTCTGAAGGAGTGTGGCGGCTTACCCTCTTCCCAGTCCTAAACCATCTCCAGTCCTGAATATGTCCCTTTTCTTAGGCAAGGTCTATTGGTTCGTACTGGATAGAGGGAGAACACACAGGATAGGTTCTGCTGTGTGTACACAATAACATTGTAGAATTAATGCATGAAGTGCAGAGAGAGTCATTTAGGTCCATGGGTAACTTCACTGGGAAAGGCCATTTCCTAAACAGGTGAAGGAAACTGAATACAACTAATTCTCACAGGCAGAGAACCTGAACTAATCCTATTGCATTTCCCTCTTTCACAGACGCTACTGATGCTGCAGCTTCCTGTTACCGGATGAATGAGAAAGGGGTATATTATGGATACTGCAGAAAAGAAAAAGGTAGTCACGTCCCGTGTAAAAAAAAGTAAGCACTGCGTTACAGAATTTGCTGGGATTTGGGAAGAGAGACCATTCCTGTTCATATTAAGAGACAGAAGCAGAGAGCACACTATTTTAGATGGCACATATGTCCATGTGTCCCTACTTGTTCAGCTTGAATATTGTGGTAAAGCCAGTTCTCAGAAAACTAGTTTCCAAATCATGAGATTAGTCTGAGAAAGAGCAAGTGTGTACATATATACATGCAAGCCTACTTGTGAGGATGACGGAGTGTATGTGCATGCATGTGCAGGTAAGTACAGGGAAGGGATTTTTGAATAGGGAACTTGAACCTCAAGTGAGCTGATGACAGGTCAGTTAAATAAATACTCATTTCTGCAAATTACTGTGGGCTCCCTGATAAGCTCAAGAGGAATTAAGAACATGCCACCTTCTACTCACAAACCAACCTGAGAACGCCACAAACCAAAACTCTTCTACGCAACTTTTTCTTTGGAGGTCCTGTACCCAACAAATTCAAGCTAGAGGAGAGGCCAGCTCAGATAGTTTTGCTGTGCAATGCCGTTGTTCTAGCAGCTCTTGTTCTCCTTCCAGAGATAAAATGTGCGGAAAGTTGTTCTGTACGGGGGGGACGGAGATGCCTCGGGACATGAGCCTAGTGACTTTTGATTCCTGCAAAGCAAGTTTTCCTAGAAATGGAGAAGCAGACGCGGGGATGGTTCTCGATGGAACGAAGTGCGGGAACGGGATGGTTAGTAGAGAATAACTTTTTTCCTCTCTTTCAGTCTTGCTTATATTGTTAGCTCTTTTACTAGACAAGAAAAATTTTAAACAGGGAATACTGAAGTGGACACTAAACATCTGCTGATCTGATACCTTCTGCCTTACATCTATCACAAATAAGTAGCAAACAGGAACTGCTATCATACTGATTTCCTTATCCTTGACTGCTATCTTATTATTTTTTACTGACACAAATATATGTGGCAACATAAACATACCTTTGTATGAAGGGTTAAAAGATCATACGTATATTACTATTTTTAGTTATTTCCATAATGGATGTGCTTGGCATCACTTAGTGCTATTTCCAATTTCTTTGCTATACATTTCTACTCGGGGGGTGGGGGGAGGGAAGGCTGAAGGACTGAAAAGGAGTGGAAAGCAGTGATGTCTGTACATCTTGCTGACTCCCCTTTGCTATAAAATACCCAAAGATCAAATGAAAAATTATATCCACATATCAAACTCCAAAGGTAGGTTTAAGTGATTTGCAGACCTGTTTCTATGCCTCCTTTTACACTTCATCACTTTACACAATAATGTACAAGCTCTGCATGTTCTGAAAGCTATAAATGACTTTGTTAACATTTGCCCTGTACATTTCAGGTGTGTAGCAATGGAGAATGTGTCTATGCTGAAGATGTCTTCAGATCTACCAACTGCTCTGCCAAGTGTACTGGACATGCTGTAAGATATGAACACTTGATGCTATTAACTTAAAAAAAAACAAAACAAGAAAATTATGCATATCAGCTACAGACCTTATTGATGACAGTATTTAAGTCACTGGGATAGGAATTTGCAAAAATTGTGGAATCAGAAGCTTCCTATATTTTTATGAAAGCAAATCTAACCTGATATAGCATCAATATTTTTGCTAAGGAGATCACAGGAGATGCACACAGATTCTGTGTCTGGCCCTGCCTCTGAGCCACAGTATCACGGCTATTCTCTTCCAGGTCATCTTCCGTTTTGGGAAGATAATTGTGCTCATCTTATTTGAACATTCAGAGACCTACAGATGTAAAGACTAACTCTGCTGCTTTGTGCCTTGTACTGAAGCTTTCACTGCAGAAACACCTGCAAAAGGCACACGATAGCAGACAATCAGGCCTGTCCTTTACTGTACAAAACTGCTACTCTCTGTGCGAAACTTTGGTTCAACTAAAATGAGAGGGGGTTTCCAGACCTAACTTAAATAAGCTGCCCAGGACCTTGATCCAGAGCTGCTGAAACTTTATGGCATCACAGCTTCACTCGTATTTCCTACCTGAAGATATTCCTGGCTTTGTGCTTCCCTAGGTGTGCGACCACAATTTGCAATGCCAGTGTGAAGAAGGATGGGCACCACCAACCTGTGACAGCTCATCGGCAGTTACCAGTAAGTGCTGTATGGCCACACATTGGGTACCGTATTCCGCTGGCTGAAATGAGCTGCTTTAATTCCAGTGAAACAGCCCTAACTTGCACTGGGTGCCAGACTGTTTCTTTGCAAATCTCACATATCTAGGTCTCCGATTTCTGTGCATCTTTAAGTCACGGCAGCTTGTATGAATGACTAGAGCAAGCTATTTTTCTTTCTAACCTGACAGAAGTGATACACTCAGGAGATTTAGAGTAGCAGGCTTTTCCTTTCTCCATCCAGAGATAACAAGCATACCATATTAGCTCATTGTCAAATTTGAGTGGAGGCAAGCTCCCAGAGGTTTTGCTGTGAGGGAGGTGGGAAAGTTTTATTACTTTATCATCTGCATGGAGCTGACCTCTAACTGATCCACCTCTGAGAGAAAACACTTTGTGTACAGATTTCCACATGTTGGGGGGGGAGGGGGAGGGGGAGGGAATTAAGCCTTTATTATTAAATATTTTTGTCCTCTCTCCACACTCACTAGAGCACTGTCAGCTCTCAACATTGTGGCTTGGTTGAGGCTTTAGAATAGCTTTGTTGAGGGAAAATTGTGAAGCCTTACTTGCATACAAAGCCAAAGGCCTGTACCCAGTTTTGGGTAACACCCTTTGAGAAAGGGGAGAGGAATGACAATGAAATCATCTTTGAGGATGGATCGAAAGAGCTAGGTTTGTTTAGCCCAAGGACAGCTCAGGCAATAACTACAGCCTGCAAAAATGGCAGGAATATATTCCTTTCCATCACCATTTGTGGCAGGAGAAGAAGCCTTAAGTTTGAGCAATAGTGAGGAAAAATAGGGTCCGGACCTTTCGAAAAAAATTACTTTGCCAGTGGTCTTGATGAGAAACTGCTTAGTAACAGTGGATCTTTAAAGGAATAGCAACTTGTGTTCTCTCTCCCTGACAGGCTTTGCTATTGTTGCTGGCGTGCTGGTTGTCCTCGCTGTCACAGCAACTGCAGCGGTGTTACTTATCCGCTTCCGAGTATTCAAGAAGAGGTAAAATAATTACCCCCATTGAGGGGGGGAGAACCAAAACCCTAAAGCCAAGCAACTTCTGGATAGGTTTTAAGCTGGGGTTTTCAAAGGGGGTGGAGGGAATTAGACACTGGAAAGCCAAGGAAGTTGGTCCATGACCTTTGTTGAGCTGTTTCAGAAATCCCATAGTTGGGAGAGGACCAAGGACTTGAAACTGTAGCTCTCAAGATTAATCCTAAATAATTAAAACAAGGGGAAAAAAGAAAGAAAGAAAGGATGGACATAGCTATGTAACACACCAATAGGAGTAAGAGGGGCATTCAACTTCAAGGTTTTTTTTACTTCAGTCAGGGTAAGATTTACAGTTATATGTAATATTTGCATAGCTGCCAGACCAGAAGGGGACCTGGAGCCACAAACCAAGTCTTTGTGGATCAAGAACAAAGACACAGAGAACACCCTGTCCTGGCGGTACCTGACCAGAAGGTAAGAGCAGGGAGGCGCTGGGTCAGCTATAGTCTCCCTGGGACTGTAAACGAAGGGTCGAAACATCAAAACTCATCAGCCAAAGTGTGCTACACTTCCACAAGGGTTTCAAAATGCTTGTCTTGGGCTGAGAGGACAGTGCTGCGAATCCCAGCATGGGGAGGGAGTCGGAAAAGCACATGGCACTAAGTCCCTAAGTAATCTGTCCGCAGTAAAGGGGCATGCAAAGATAATGCACAAGATAAGGGTTCCATCCACTTTAACTGTTCCCTGTTTCCAGAGGAATGATAAGAAACTTCTCCTTCCTGTACCTCCACTGCAGGAGAACAAACCACAGCTCCAGAGCGTAAGTACTTTTAGAGAATTTCTTTGCTTTCACACTGGCTTTGGGGAAGACAGCACATACCAGTTCATGCCATGGCAGAGACCAGCAATGACAATCTGATCCCAAAGGCTGGGGAAATCACTGCACTCCAGATAAGGCCCTGCACATTTTCTCAGGGCCAGACAGCATAAAGCATCCACGCTTCTGAAATGAATGCATCCTTTTACCCCTATTAATGCACTTTTTATATAGAACGCAAGCCTACACGTTCCCATGGGAACATGCAGATGCATACATATGCAGTATGTATATAGGGTCACTATCTTTTATATTCTTTTCTTTTACAGCCTATCGTAAGACCAAAAGGTCCTCCACCTCCTATTCCTTCTACCAAACCAACCTCTTCCCACACAGAAGCGATTTTTGTAAGTGTAACCCTACAACGTTTCACATTTTTCATCTGAGTTGCAAATGACTATCAGAAGCCAATTAGTATTTTCCATTTCTGACTATGATTAAAAAGAAATAAATCACAGACATTCAAACCACATATTCTTTAGGGTAGGAGTCACCTTTTTTGCCATGTAATCCTAAACTGCACAAGATACTCTTAATCTGTGCCAAGGAGTCCTGTAAGCCATCACAAACACATCTCATTAGCAATAGTACACGGAGTCCAAACCAACAGGGATTTCAGGTGTAAACACAATGCAAATGATGAGCATCTTTGCTACTACAGATGTCTGCAATAGTCCCTGTATTGTGGACATGTGGTAGTCTCTAAAGATGCCAGCTGTGAGGGGATCTCCATCAATGTGCATATATATATATTTTTTGAATTCTTAAAAAAAACTTGGAGACCAGAAGCATACAAATATTTGCCATTAACAAACCCAAAGCATCCTACTTAAACAAAAATGCCTCCCTCAAATATTTACCATCTCAGCATTTGAGCCCCTGCCCACCCGATATAAGGGTGTAAAAACCATCTTCAGACTAGCAACATAATTGCATGGTACTGCCTGCATAAAGAATGATGCATCGGGACTGAAAAAAACCCCACATATCAGCTTGATTATAAAAATACATTTAAATCCCACTGTCTTAAGAGATGCTTTCCTCAACATGCACCCTGAGCATGTGATCAGCTTTAGCTTTCCAAGCAGTCTATTTGAGCATTGATACTTGATACAGATGAATTTAAACACTGAGAACAGTTCAGTGGTCTTCTGAAACAGGAGAACTATACCCCTTGTGTATTTGTATTATTGTGCCTTCTTGTGTGTGGACAGATTAATCTAATTCACCCCTAGCTTTTCCACTAGGAAAATGCTGGAGTAAATACATGAGATAACAGTAGCAGCAGCTGAGGTCTGCAGAGGTTCTGCGGCTCCTCAGACAGGAAAGCCTAATGACATTTAAACTACATTTTTGTTATAGGCACCAGAAAGAAAACCTCCTCATCTCCCAGTTCCCAAAGGCAAACCTCCACCTCCACCAAAGGTAACCGGAGTTCAAATGTGAATAGCAATTCTTTTGGGATGTAATTTGTTGAAACTGCACCAGGCACACTGTGATTTAACTCTTTCTTTTTTCATGTAGGCTTTAAAACCTCCAATTAATCCCAGAGTATGAAGCTTCTGCAGTAGGGCTGATCAAGATACCTGAAATTTTCAGGGACAATTTGTTTGTCCCTCAATTCCTCCACTTTTGGCAAAGGCAACAAAGACAGTCTTCCTGTTCTCTTTAAAAAAAGAACAACTGACTGACAACTGCTTTGAAAGGAGAAGTTTGGTTTTCAAACAGTGAGGAACTCTTTAGTGATGACATCAAGCTACTGTCCAAAAGGAAACGAAGTAGAATCGCTACTTGCACTGAGGTGTAGACTAGGAGCAAGTTATAAAAGCTGCTTAACACATCCCAACTCCTAGGCCACCACCGCAAGATGTGGCTGCACTGGGATGCCCTGCATCTACACTTTTCTCTGTACAGACCTGAGAAGATCATGGAAAGTATGGCTATGGTATGTTTGTAAATTGTAAACTTTTTGCTACATTTCTGGATCTTTGCCAGCCCTCTCTCCAGCAACAGACCAGACCTTCTCCTTCATGTGCAAGCTGCAAGTTCTGGAAAGAGAAAAGTCCTTCCTGCCCTTCGGAGAAAAGTTTGTGTCCTCAAGACCTGAACTAGCCTTGGAAATGCATTGATTCTGGAAAGATCCTTTTGGATCGGATTCTCTCATTAATCCTTAGATTACCTGTTAAACAAGATTCCTCTGTTGAATAGGCAAAACTGGAGATACGCTTAAAAGCAAAGCACACAGGAGTCAAACCACTTGCTGCTTGCAAGTGCTCCCAGAGCTCAGGCTGTGCCAGTTTAAAAAGAGCTCCAGCTGCCACCATTGCACTTGGACAGAAAAATTCAGAAAAGCAGTGTAAACAAAATCCTTAATCATTTATTTCATTTGCCCCTCAGCTCCAGAAATATCTGAGTATTTCTCCCTTCCAGGATATACACACCTTCGTGTTTTTGTTTAAGTGCTCTTGCACCAGGGTGTGTTATTGTAAAGTTGCTAATGAGAACTAGGCTGGGCCCAACGGTTTGTTATTGTGGGACAGCATCGCAGCATGAGGCTTTGCACACTGGTTTATTACTGAGGGGTTCTTCATTCGTTCTGGCCTGTTGGCATCAGCATTGTTGACACTATTGGCCTGCTGGCATAGATCTGCATGATACTGTTGGCATTGACATTAATAATACTGTGAGGGTGCTGGCACTGATGCTATTGTTACCATTGGCACTGATATTATTCATGTGGTTGGCATCAATATTTTTAAGTTAAAGCACACAGAAGTGTTTTTCAAGGAACAAAAATTTTACCAGGGGGGAGGGGGGAGGAGAAAAAAGAGAGAGACACACACACAAAATTGCCCTGGACCCAAAGTACTCGAGATTTTATAGAGATTCCAGTTTGAACTGGATTTGGGGTTGGATCAGGATCAAAACCAGAACACAGATCCAAATCGATTACACTGTGGCTCAGGAAGGCAGTTTCCAGCCCTTAGGCATAGTGGCTTTGCTAGAGAAGACCACATGCCTGCCAAACTACCAAAACAAGACCTGGGGCCTCAGGCCAGCATTGTGCATACTAACATTTACCTGTACTTGATTCTGACCAGGGCCCATCAGGACTTTTAAAAAAGCCCAATCCTCAGAGGGCCTGAACCCTTCTACTCAAGTTTGCTAACCACCTCACACCTGCTGAAATCCTGATCCACGTAATCTTGTTCGGATACTGAACACCTAACTGTACATTTACTTTTCAAATGCAGAGCCTTGGTATTTACAGTGACTGTTACTGCAGCTGCACACTGCAGATCCATTGTCTCTGATACAGAAATGCATATAAAAACCCCAATTTCTTCTTTAGGGCCAGGCTTGCTTTGAGGTTGCCAATCAAGTACTGTATGCTCTGCAAAACACAGATGTGATGAAATTACAGTCTCCAGTGAGGACTGAGGTGGGTTTTTTGTTTTAGGATAGATTTTATTGGAAGAGCCTAGCTTTCTTCCGCTTTGGATAATTGCGTCTTTATTTGAGTAAGAAATGGATTTTAATCTATCTGTATTTGACTATGGTGTAAAGATTCAGAACTTATTTTTTATGAACTCTAATTAATGTATTTAGAAAGATTTATGTATTAGAAGTATTCTGTCTAAATTGGAAGTAGTTGTTTTGTTTTTTAAAGATCATCATTTGCATGAAAACACAAGACAACAGTGTAAAGTGGGATTCATTTATAACATTGCCAAATCCCTAGAACTCCCAGCTTGGACCAAAAAGATCATTCACAGGCATTGACAAAGTTAGCCAGTAAAGCTGAATTAAATCTATAGTAAGGGTTGACAAGATACTACATCACCATTTTTCTGCCACCTTAAAATCTGTTTCTTCATAGTCTGCAACATATTCCACTTTGTGAGCATCAAGAATTTTCCGAGGATATGGAGATTTGAAGCAAGCTAAAGAGACTTGCTTTTTCTCAATTACCTTTCTCAGATTCAACTCCCAAACCATGGAGCTTGGGCTTACTTTCTCCTGCAGAAAACCAGTACTCTATGTCTGACCTGTATGGGATCAAACCTCCTTAATATATGAACACTTTCAGTAAGCAAAGCCTGCACCCCAGCACCCAAGCAGAGTGTGAGTGCTGTATTGAGACCAAGCATCCATCTTCAGCAGTGACTTGCAGTAGAAACCCAAGAAAAATATATAAGAGCACACACCCATAGCAGTTTATGATTTACAGCTTTTCATGGCCTCAGCATCCATAGAACACGATAGTATCCCCTGCGATGGAGCACATGTTCTGTCGTTCCAGTCAGGCACAAAAGGGCTCGTCTGTATGTACAATCTATTGTTCCGTTATGCAAACGTGACATCTACTGTTAAAAAGCCTCTACTGCAAGAGGAAAGTGAACCCAAGGAAACTGAAGACATCTTCAGCACTCCAATTGTCAAGAGCCTGCAGTATGTAGCCCCACAGGGCTAGTACTTCATCAGATGCATTTCCCTGTGTAGTCTCACACTTTTCACTGACCTGCAATAGCTTGATTTGGGTCCAGCGGTTCCCTTATTCCTGGTTCATGGTCCCTTCCTCAGCATGATCTACCGCACACACAGTACAGCAGAGCAGCAAGCCCACCTGCTGGCATCATATAGTAAGATACAGAAGGGATTTTGGCACAGTGCAATCACCACCAGTGAACTGAAGCTGACTGAATGTGCATTTGCTACGCCGGAGCCACGTGCCAGACCCTTGTCTTGCTCCTAGCCCAAAAGCAAAGCAGTTTACCACTGGTTTTGGGGTGGGTTTTTTTTACTAGAAGTGAGCACCCCACTCCTCCCTCTCCCCTTACTCCATGGGAAAACAAAAATGTCTTTTTTTATGTTCCTTTTCAATCTCTGAATTTACCACCCTCTTTCATCCCTCTTTTCCCTCCCTCTGCCTCTGAGTGACAGTGCTACCAAGAGAGAGCAAACCTTTTACTCTTTGCACCCCCAAACCAATCTCCACTGTGAATAGTTTTGGGGGGTTCTTGAAAATAAGGCACACACTGGACCATAGCAACAGACCTATTTCCTCAGTAGCTCCTACCGGGCCCTCTGAATTGCCCACTTTGCTGTGCAAATTCACCACTGGCCATTAGAGGGCAATGGGGCATGGAAAAGAAGTTTCTCCTGCTTGCTATCAGATGACTGCTATTACCTCAAACGAATCAATTCTGAATTTACTGCATCCTCTGACCTTGGGCTATAGATTTGGGAGACATTAACAAGGATGCCATCAGCCAGGAGAGTGGGGAGATTGGAGCACATTCAGATTTTCAGACACAGAGGCACCAGACAACTAATAAATAGGCTAAACCCAACCCTCCAAACATGATACCATAGAGAGCACATGCCTTAAGCTCTACACAGCAAGAGGCAGTCCTAATTGATTCAGGTCTTACTGACCAGAAAACAAAACAGTGTCCTACCAGCCTTTATCAAAATGAATAATAAATGTCACTTGTAACTTGAAATTAAGAATTTTCTTCCCCTTTTGCTTCCTTATGCCAGTAGATCTTTCATAGCCTCATAGTACTGCATGAATCATTACCATCTTAACAAATAAATGAATAAAAGGCTGCAGGTTGAATCCACTGATGTGCAAATCAGTGAAAACTCATGGAAATATTGCAGATTTCCAAGTTGACAGACCCTAAGACTTCAGACCTGACTGTCTGTCTACCACCCAGCTGGGCCTAATAGCTCTCCAGTGCTACGAAACAAATGGCTCTTACTATGATGGCCTTTGCCACTGCCTGATAATATCAGTAAATGTGAACCTCAGCCATCAGCTACTTAGTGTTATTTACCTGTGGCTGAGAAGTGCTAGTCTTAAATCATCAGTTTATTGATAACTTCCAGAGTGCGGCATTGCTGGATGCTTCTAATCTTCCTCTGGTGCCGAGGAAATGGGAGGCCCTGGGAAAGAAGCAGAGGTGGCTGTTGGGTTGCCAGCAGTTGCCCTGGCTCCCAGATCACTTTAAAGCAATCTTCGGAAAAGTGGCACAGATATTAACAGGCTGTTACTGACATTAGATCCATAAATAATTCCACATAATGCATGGCCCCGGCCCTTAGAAGGTCTAGGGGAAAAAAAGTGGAGGCTGGAATATTGATAGATGTGTCTGCAAGAGCTATTAAGAAAGGGAAGGCAGTTTCCATGGGATTGGTCTAAGCCACCGCACCCAGGACCAGAGGGAAATCTTGGTCACATGCCTGACAAAACAGATCTCAGTGCACAGCACCAAGCAACAGGTTTAATGAAAAGAATAACGCAGCTTCCACAGGACTTCAGAAATAGAGGCATCCCCCTTCAGAAGTCAAAAACCATCATGAAAGACTGGAGAACTTATAAAGCAAGCCTCAGTACAAGTGAGGACAGAGCTCAGGTGCACTTACTCTGTGCTGCAGATACAGAAGAGATCTCTCTCTTGCATCTGTTCATGCATGGAGAGAGAAACGAGCTGCGCTCTGCCATATACTGAATCTATTTTTTGATGTCCTTAAGTGCACTGGAGTAATGTATTTTCCATGTTACTTTTTGCAGCTATTACTGAGACATGTCCCTGAATCCCATCAGTGGGTACATCCCGTTGAAGTGCTGCAGTGAATTGCTAAACATGTTTTATAAATTAGATAATCCAAAAATCCCTGCTACCCAGCCCCATGCTGTGATAAGGCTTCATAACAGTAGAAAACCCATGAGATGACTTAACAGAGGAGAAAACAAAAACCCCACAGCGTAGTCTCCCAGTCAAGGTACTGAAACAGATGAACATGACTCACCCCCCTTCAGAGACACCAACTGAGCACCTACATGCTTTGCTGCGGGCATCTCTGAGTCCACCCCTCTCCATTTTCTGCTTCTGATGCCTTCACTCCCAACACACACACCTGAGGACAGCAAGAAAATTCCCACTGTCTAAGTGACATTGCTCATGTAGCTTCGAGACAGATTTCAAGGCAACAGTCCCTCTTTGATTCTCAAATGGTGCTACGGGACTGACTCCCATGCCAGTGGTCAGATTTCTTAGCACTTGGCAGCTGCAATCAAGGGTTGGCTTTTCAGAAGAGTTTAGCG